TCACATTTACCTTTGTACTATGTTTCCGAGAATATACTATTTAACCTCATATCCGAGTCCGTGGTATCTTTCTATGGTTCTACACCATAACAAAAACTGTGCAAAATACAGGATTGAAGCCAAACGCTTGCTGTTTCGAAACTAACGGCTATATGATTAAAATAGAAAAGGTGTTCAATACACGTTGCAAAATTAGAAAATAAAAAAGAATTTAAATTATTTTTTGAAGACATCGATTGACTAGATTACGACGATAGCAGATTTGAAATTTCTGAGTTGTTTTCACTGATTTAGTTATTCTTTGTGGGATTCGACTATTAAATCTCTTTTAATTAAATAAGAACAGACATTACGGTTTTCACCGAACAACACAATTTTTTTTTATATAGCAGGCAAATATTACTATCTCCGTGAATGATATTTTTCTTGATCCTACATTTTAATATAAAAGTTAATTTGTTTTTCCTTGTACAAATACAAAAATACATATATATATATATATATATATATATATATATATATATATATATATATATATATATATATATACAAATCCCACACTGTTACTGTTGAAATACTTAAATGCAACTATAACTTCAACAACAGATTCTTTTCTCATGTTAGTGGAACTCACTTCCTTTTGTCATGTTTCCGAAATAACTATAATCTTCAAAAATGTAAATGGAACGGCAATCGCCATCTTCTGTTGTCGTGATCCTTTTTCTTCTTCTATCGTAATGCTAATATATATATATATATATATATATATATATATATATATATATATGAATGTATGTATATATGTATACATATATATATATATATTATGAAATGGACAAAGTCCGACAATTATTTTTATGTTTATACATTCTTTTTATAGATACAAATATTTAAGTAAATGCTCTGTTTATAATAAACAGTATTAAACAACATTTACCGGCCTGAATGTCCGAGAAATTTTCCCTGAAAATATTCGTCTTCCAACAGGATTCAAACATGTATCCTATACGGAACCGTCATAAATCCTGACGTGCCTTAACCGAATTGGCTACAGAGGAGCGTTCGGTTAGCAAGGTCAAATTTACAGTCTTTAAAGTTTAATCTTCCATGAATCACTCACGTACATTCATATGTGCTCAAAGCGTATCCAAATGTAAACAAATGACGTCACAGATTATGAAATGGACAATGTCCGACAATTATTTTAAGACATTTTTATTTATACATTCTTTTAATAGATATAAATATTTAAGTAAAAGCTCTGTTTATAATAAACAGTATTAACAACATTTACCGGCCTGAATAACCGAGAAATTGTCAAAGAAAATATGCGTCATTCGACAGGAATCGAACATGTATCCTATACGGAACTGTCATATACCCTGACGTGCCTTAACCGATTAGGCAAAAGACATTCATACATGTGCGGCTTGATGTGAGTGTGCGAATCTGTGTTCCTGTGTGTACCTAATTGATGAAAATACCTTGCGATTATTATAACTGATGTTTAGAGAAGAATTGTAATATTCTTGTCATTTTCCGGTTTTATCTTTCAAAGATAACTTTATACATATATATATATATATATATATATATATAACTTTTATATATATATAGAGAGAGAGAGAGAAAGAGAGAGAGATAAACAATCTTATATATATATATATATATATATATATATATATATATATATATATATAGATAGATAGATAGATAGATAGATAGATAGATAGATAGATAGATAACTTTTTTCCTCAACGAGTTTTTACAATTAAACTTGAGAATTCGGATGTGATTCGTTTTGACCATTAGAATTTGGCTCTATTAGAGTTTCTGCAATGCGAATAATTTTGATCTCATCGTGATATTTTAGATACATAAATTATGAACAACAATAGATAGATAGATAGATACGAGAGGACTGAGATTGATGAGATTGAAATCAGACAAATGAGAAAGATCTACAGAGAGATAACAACCAAGTTGAGATCAATAGATATTGATAAATAGCTATGAACACGATAATTTTGAGTGACAGAAATACAGACATAAGTATAGATAGATAGATAGATAGATAGATAGATAGATAGATAGATAGATAGATGACCTGAATATTACATTGAATCTTGAAACTGACTCTCACCAGACAGTGTTCCTCTGGCCTCATTGTTTTATATCTAAAATCGCTCTATCACCAAAACTGTTAACTCTTCCTCTATAAATGCAGCCAATGTTATACAATATAGACAGATAAATTGATAGAAAGATCATGAACAAACTGAGATAGATAGAGATAGATAGATAGATAGATAGATAGATAGATAGATAGATAGATATAGGAAGCTTGAAGCAGCCAAAGAGTTAGATATGAGCAGAATCAAATAAATACATAGATTGAGATAGTAGAATGAGAGAAACATGCGACCAATTTTTGTATATATATATATATATATATATATATATATATATATAGAGAGAGAGAGAGAGAGAGAGAGAGTAAGAGATAGATAGATAGATAGATAGATAGATAGATAGATAGATAGATAGATAGATAGGGTAGGGTGGAAATAGGCCTTAAAGAATCATTCTCCTCTGTCCCTCCATTTGAAATAGATATTTACACCCTCCAGCCCATATGCTTCATGTATAATATGTTTATCGAAAAAAATTTATTCATTAAGAAATTCTTTTCACTTTCTTTGCGTACTCGCACGCGCACACACACATATAGATAGATAGATAGATAGATAGATAGATAGATACATACATACATACATACATACATACATAGATATTAGACAAACAATTATTTTACTTCCCAATCGAACCCAATTAATTTGAAGTCCCTTTTCGTTATTGATCAGCTTAGTTTATTGGTTCCTTACTTCAAATATGTAGATTAATTAAATATATCGTAAAATCAATCAGAAACAGATGAATAACACAATGTGTTCAATATCGATTTTCCCGTAATATTTTTTTTTAATAAATTCACTTATAAGCTTCTCGGGTCACAATCTCCTCGTTCGCCTAAGTATATCAATACATAAAAAAATTGAAAAAAATAGCAGTGAATGAATATAAACATACACTCATAGTTTTAAACAAGTTTTTTAAAAAAATGTTTTCTATAAAGACGAATCCCGTCACCCCTTTAATGTCAGAATCAAAGAAAACAACAAAACTATAGCCAGTGGTTACGGGGGAAATCTGGTATGGCGGAACATATATGTAGAAAGAAGGTTTGCCTATTACCCTCTTAATATAATCAAGACAGATGACTTAAATTAGGTTGTTATTGAACTCACTCATCAGTGGTAACTGATCTATCGAGGCAAGCTTGTGAATTGTTATACTAATTCGAATTGCTCCTAAGGTGATGACTTAGGGTCGGTATTTCTCCACGCACTAACGTCGCAACAGAATGTGACACAATGTCAGACCGAGTCGAATTGCTCCTAAGGTGATGACTTAGGGTCGGTATTTCTCGGCGCACTAACGTCGCAACATAATGTGACATGAGGTCAGAGTTTCATGTGCCATTTCGGAAAATCCATATATAAATTGCTGAAATACCAAGGGGGCCTTGGTATTTCCTCGTTTTAATGAACCCAGTCCTCTCGCGAAGATGTACTCCCTGCGTCGGGGGACACTTGGGGATTCAGTTGATATTATTTTCATCTTCCCCGGCATAAAATAGCAGGTAAATATTTAAAATAGTGACTAATTAAACGTAGTTTAGATGTGGCATAAGGCCACACTTATGCAGCACCCAATGAGAATCGGCCTCACTAGGCAGTTTTAATTGATCTTGCAAGACAAGCTTTGCCACTTGTTGTACCAGGTAGAAATTCCACTAATATGCTTGGAGAAAGTATGGTTTCGCAAGCCTTGCATAAATCAGCCTACCGCAACATTCAATAAATTATGGGTTTTCTGTTTGCTCTCGTGACAATGAATTTAATTCAATGATGAAAATTGATTACATAAATTTAAAGTATACAATGCCCAAATTAAATTTCGTTTAAAAGCCACGTAAAATATATCTATCTATCTTATCTACCGAGCTGACTCTGTTATTATCTGTGTCTATGTATGTATCTATTTATCTATCTATCTCAGTCTGTTCTTCTCTCTCTCTCTCTCTCTCTCTCTCTATATATATATATATATATATATATATATATATATATATATATATATACCCAAATGTATTCGCTTGTATCTATTATTCTGCTATTTCAATCTATATATTTATTTGATTCTGCTCATATCTAAGTTTTTAGCTGTTTCAAGCTTACCATATCTATCTATCTATCTATCTATCTATCTATCTATCTATCTATCTATCTCTGTTAATATCTGATGTATGTATCGGTTTATTTATCTATGTCTGTCCGTTCATATCTCTCCCTCCCTCTCTCTCTCTCTCTCTATATATATATATATATATATATATATATATATATATATATATATATATATATATATATATATTTATATATATATATATATATATAAATTTGTTCCCTTGTATCTCTCATTCTGCTATCTCAATCTATGTATTTCTAAGTTTTTAGCTGTTTCAAGCTTACCATATCTATCTATCTATCTATCTATCTATCTATCTATCTATCTATCTATCTATCTAGGTCTATTCAAATCTATCTATCTATCTATCGATCTATCTGCATTTACAGAGGATGAGCGGTTGAATAATTGACTGATTTGTTTTCTCCTGCGTATTAAACCTTTGCCGGTTATATAAATATTTTTAGATGGTAAGAATATTTTTGAGAGAGATGATAATAATTTAGTGATTAAAGTTAATTAACTAATTAATCCCTAGCTGTTGGGGGGGGGAGAAGAGATAGAGTCGTGCCTTTCCCAGGGGAATTTGCGCCTAAGTGAATATAACGAACCCGAAGTGAATTAGAACTCCGCTCTCCGAATAACAATCCCGAGTCATTATCCATTACACCAGCCGCACTTCCAACCTTATAACAGCTGGTATTCCTAAGTGGTCACTGATCTAGGTACTAAGCAGGCTCGACGTTGCTTAACCTCGGTGACCTGACGGGAACCGGCTTTTCAACCTGAAGAGATCAGATTGATTGAATTATATTCATATAAGTAATATAAGGCAGGATGCATTAATAAGTATTAAAATATATGTTTGTTTGGCACCGTCATTGAGAAAGTAGCTATGGGGGGACCTGAGGGTCTATAGATGCATTTATTAAAACGTAGGAACATTTCAGTAACTCGATTCAATAGATGCCATCCTTCTTTTGCCTTTTATTCAATGCTTAAATATCCCGACAGCAGAACGAGACGTGACTTGTTATTCAGATTGGAAATCTGCGGGTCAGATGATCATGTCGTCTTCCTATAGATGTACAAAGCTAATGTCTGCTCGGAATCGTCAAAACGAGGGCTCCAAGTATTTTTTTCTAATAACGCATGGTATTAACAGTCAAATGTAAGAAGACAAAATGCAAAGGTGTCGGAGAGATAAAAAGCCCAAAATGTGAATTAGAAATTGGGAAATGCCAAAAGCAAACTAGTACAGATGTTATAATGATCTGAAAATTGTTTTAACGAAGGATGGAAAGTTTAAAGTCGAAATCTTAAAAAATACATTGCAAAAACCAAGAAAAAGGAAAATTTATTTAGAAACAAAACAAAAGGGCGAAGAACTATAATTTAATACTGGCTGTATAACCCGTCTTCGACCAGGTCTTTCATTACTGGAAATTTTTGCCGTTTAATTGGAGCAGTTTCAGTTTAAAGCCAGCCCACCCGAAAATCAATATCAGTAACAACATTTGGGTGAAAATTGGGCAACCCCCAAATGGAGGGTAACAGTTTGAATGAGGGGGCCCTGAAAAAGGTACTGTATACTAATAAAGAATATTATTGTAATAATCTAAACTATTTATTTTTATTAGTTTTTATATGAAAGATATATATCCAAGAAGAGATAGTAAATAGTAAAAAGTTGCTGAGAGTTGATAATGGACAGGAAGTAGTGGAGAGCCATTATCACCAACAATTTGGACTCAAAACCAGCACTGAAGAAGTATCTATCAAACAAAACAAATTGCATGAAAACTGTGGAAATGCATAAACAACATCCGATCACAGACATACATACACACATTTTGAGAATTATAGATATAAGAAAATGGTCGTTCTGTATGGGAGTTAATGTCAAATTGTCTCTTCATTGATGAAGAAGAGACGTAAGACAAGAGAAATGTAGTTCTACAGAAACATGCTGAGAATAGCAATGAACAGAATATGAGAGAAACGAGAACGTTTCAGGGAACTTAAAAGCAGAACATTTGAAATTTCGAGGGCATATAAAGAAAGAAGGCATAGTGAGTTTGACACGCCCAGAACATATTGAATAAAAAAGATCAGGGGAAGTCTGCAGGTTATTGTGTGAATGGATGATGGAACAGGAGCTGGAGGTCTTGACAATGTTTATCGTAATAATAGTCGTTTCCCTATAAGGAAACATTTGGCATTCATTGACCGAGTAGCCAGTACTGATTTCGATTGAAATGTAGAAAAATTTTTTCTCTTAAAACAGTTTTTAAAGAAAAAATAATTTTTTCAAGTCTAGGAACTTTCCAGATATTTCTAGTATATGGCGGGCTGTGGGTGCTTCTCAAACTTTTATTTGAACTCGTGTGAAATGTCATCTTCTTGATTATGTCATTATTTTCTCTTTGAGTTACATTTTATTTGTTGTTACTCTTTATATACGTCAAGTGATATGGTTTCTGTTATTTGATACTGTTCTTTGTGATTCTGTAGCGCCAGTCAACACTGTTAAAAGAAGCATGATCTTTCCCAAGACACACAAGCTTCACTCGCTCAAAGCCATTTTTAACCGGTGATATTAGAAAGCGGTTGTATACAGCTGACAGTTTAGATATTTCTGAACGGGTTTGGTACCATGCATGGCATCCATTTGAAAGCCTCGATTTGATGAGGCTATTTAAGCACATGGCTGGAGTTTTCAGGTTGAATCCAACTACAAGTAATAAGAAATTATGGAGAGGGATGATCACCAACGTCTTCAAGCGTCAAGCCCCACCCAAGAAGAAGAATGAAATTTAACGCTTCGGGAACGTAGATGAAATACATGTGATTTACAAAGAGCCGAGTAGGCACTATTACAGATATAATTTTCCTTGTTGATAAAAAACTTTCGAAAACATTATTATGTTGAAGGTTTCAATATTTTTAAATAGTTTTCTCAAATTTTTCGTCTTACAAGGTCCTCATTGTATATATTCACATATCTTATATATTTTTATGGAACTCTAAAATAAAGCCCAGAATATCAAATTTGAAAAGCTTTATTTGCACTCAAGTTGTTGCTCAGGTTTTAAATTCTCGCTTGATTCGTTCTTTTGCCAGAGTTGCTTTATTTCTGTTTTTATGCGCCATGTATCTCCTTTAGTGAAGGGTAAGCAGGTAATTTAATGGAGAGCGGCACGGAATGAGAAACTTCAGAACCAAGTAAATATATATATATATATATATATATATATATATATATATGTATGTGTGTGTGTGTGTGTAAGCAAATATAGGATATAGATCCGACAGTATGAAGAAAAATATACGGAAAAAACAAACAAAATTCCTAATATGCAATTATGCTGTTTTAATGTTAATATAATGTCAACGTCGGACGTTTCGGTCTAGTAGACCATCTTCAGGACATATTATAAAACATAATTAACATTAGACTATATTTAATTCAACATGAAAAGACGATGGACATAAGAGTAAGACTAATCAAAACAGACAACTGAAATTTTTCCAGATCAGCGTTCCGTTTCAATATGACCACGTCGGCGTCACGTCGGCGATGTTGTGAAAACGTATTCCTAAAATATAGTATTTTGAATGAAAAATGAAAAGAATATTATTTCAATCTAAAACTTATATGTACGTTTGTCGAGCATTAATCTTGCTAGAAAAGGGGAAATATTAAAGAAGCCAGGTTTCGTATTCACCGTGCGTGAGATAGATATTATGCCTGCCTCATAAATCCGTCTAAAATTTTTATTATGAATATATTTTAAAATACTCTACTTTAGGAATACGTTTTGCCGACGTTGTGTCTTCATTCATCTTCCTCCAGGGTCACAGACTCAACAGCCAGGCCCACATCAAGTACGTTGATGAGGTAATTCAGCTCTGGGTTAAGAGAGTGGCCGCTGGAAGACGATATGCCTGACAACATAACTCTGGACCATGCCACATAAGCAGGAGAACCCAGTCATAAGTTCTGCGTCCACATCACTCCTTACATCTAACCACCTTATTACCTAGACTGGAACATTCCTTGATTATTAATTGCGGGACGCAGTTCAGCGATAGGCCAACAAAACTCATTGAAACCCCAAAGATGAAATGAAGGCCAGAATCATGGCAGCAGTCACCAACTTAACCAAGGAGGCCGCCCAGTAATGTTGTTAAAGATTGCGAAGTCGCTTGGTGGCCGTGGTTGAAACCCATGGCGATTTTATTGAATAAATATACTCTTTCGTATTTCAAGATATTTTGGGTGAACTTTTGGTAAATATAACTTTTAAAATGACATGACCGTGTAATTTTCATGTCGGAGTCATTTAGACTTCAATTTATCCATCGCACGCTACATATCTGTTCAAATGAGATGTCAGTTATTTTCATTTTGGAGTCTTTTAGACGACAATTTATCCATCGCACGCTGTGTATCTGTTCAAATGAGATGTTAGTATTATTTTCGTGCTGGTGTCATTTCAACGACAATTTATCCATCGCACCCTGTATATCTGTTCAAATGAGTTGTCAGTGTTTCCATTTTTTCTTCATTTAGACGACAATTTATCCATCGCAACATGTACAATATTCATATAGTATATTTCGGCTTTAAATACCCCGCAATTATGTAAAATAATAATAATTAATCAAACTTCATCAGTTATTCTCATACTCCGTTGTGCACATAGCAAATGAGACTCGAAACCCATATAGCTGAATCTTTGGTAGCGTGTCCCTTAAGGACGTCGGCGATTATGACTCTCTATAAATTCCTTTACTCCGATGACTCTCCTTCTGCTGTCCAATTACCCAAATCTATTCTTACTGGATATACCGATAAGGTGTCCTTTTACCATAATCACAACGTACATACCTTTTAGGCTGCCTGTTGTTGTCCAATCAGTTGGACTGTCAGAGCAATGCGTGAGAGGTTTTCTCTCTGAGCGACCTACTGATCTCGTCTTGCTAAGCATAATAACACTTATTTGATTGCGTCCTGTATCAAGATGTTTAAAATACAAGTCTCGCAGAAGACACAAATTACCAGGGCCCAGATTGAATAGTATCTTATAATATGAAAGCCATAAGCAATTGTTGTCAAGATATTTTCTCAGACTATTAATATAATTATTAGTAGGTGTACCACGTTCTTGTTATGCAAATGATATTGCTACACCTGTGGTTGTTACTAAGCAAGAAGAAAGTAAGATGATAGAATGAATGTACTGTTATGAAAAATGAAAGACCATGATGTGTTCAACGCATCGGGGACGTTAAAATGAAACAGATACAATAAATACCTAGGTATAGCTGGTCAATCGTACCCCAGCGAGCGAAATAAAGGGTTCAATAACGACATTCCAACCATCCTAATAAGGACGGAGCGTACAACGGCCGAAACGTTGTGATAAATATGACAACAAAGATGAGGACAATAGTCCGAATAATGTAAATTGTGAACATACGTACATCATTGTGTAAATTAATTGGATCCTTCGTCAGTTATGGCATCCATTAGACATGGCACGTGGAACTAGAACAGTTTACCACAGCAAGCAAAATAAAGGGTTCAGTTCGACATTCCAACAACCTGAAGAAGAACGGAGCGTACAACGGCCGAAACGTTGTGATAAATATGGCAACAAAGATGATTACCATAGTCCGAATAATGTAAATATTGTGCAAATATGCTGAGCAGACCTTAGTTACAGTTTCTGGGAAAGGGCGTGTTATCTAGCGTGATTAACAATTTGAACAAGGCCA